ACTTGTGTAATATACCTGTCTCCCCCAGTAGCAGCTTCCAGAGAGCAGGGACTTGGTCAGTGTCATCCCACTGGGCCCTCGGTGCCTGGCATAGTACTGGCACAGCAAAATGTGCTCTGTGTGAATGGCCAAGTGCTTGCTTTCCCCTCTCCCTGTTCTGCATCAGCAGTGCTGGGTCCTCTCCCTGCTGTGGGCAAGGGGCTGGCCTCCCCATCTTGGGACTGGCCGAGAATTCAGACAGGGCCAGAGTAGCCAGGGCTGCCTGACCGGACTCTGGGCCCTGAGCACTGCAGCCAGATCCCAGATGAGCCACAGGTACCCACTGCCAGCCACGGGTTCCCTCTTCCTGGCCTTGCTCTAGGCAATGAGTTTGGTGGTGCCAGGGGTCAGTGCCTCATGCCCCCCACTGCTTCTCAGGATGAGGCCTAGGGACAGCAGCCCTCAGCCACCAAACTACTACAGGCCCGCCTCCTCCAGGAAGCCCTCTATGCCCAGCCCCATCTGAGCTCCTGCTGCTCTGAGGCATAGAGTGGAAGAGGGTGAGCAGTTTCTCGGTGTTTCCTGTTGTCTTGGGGCCCAAATGAGGTCTGTGCTGCTGCTGCTGCTGCAGCTGTGAGCTGCCCCACAGGTTTCCCAGATACAAGATGTGGCTTCTGGATGAGGAAAATCGCATGGAGCAGCAGACTAGGAACTTGGTCCAGTTATCCCTGCTTGATAGGGGCCAAGACTAAGGCACAGAGAGATTAAGGAACTTGCTTTGCTAATGCATACCAGGGCCAGGAAGTTGCCTACCCCTAAAGCTGAAAATTCTCACCCTGCCACAAGCTCCCTGCATCCTGCACTGCAAGGAGCCAGGGGAATGATGGGAAGTTGGAAGCAGGATGAGTAAGAGATGTGATGGAGCTGCTGCTGCCGAGCCACACCCGCACTTAGTGATTGACACAGGTATGGGGATACTTTCCATGTCCCTGGGGAAACTGAAGCACAGTGAAGTTAACTCACTCACACTCCCCCTGCCCCAGAAGTGGAAGATCAGGATCGGAAGGACTGGACTAGAGCTGGAGTTCAAACTTTGTGGCCGTTCTCCCTCGCTGGTCAACAGGACCACAGAGGCTACCCATCCCCTCGGCTGCTCTGGGGCCTCAGGGCACTTGGGGTGAGGGTGAGCCACCTCCCAGTGCCCTGTCCAGTGCCACACCTCCGCGCCACTTCCCTATCCCTGGCGGCACCCCAGGGACCCTCCCAGTCTCTCCCAAGTTGAGGCCAATATGCAATCAAGAGGCTGGCTGGCCTCCCTGCCTCCTTCCACTAACACTTCCCCTCTCTCTGTCCAACCAAAGGCTTCCAGGAAGCTCAGTCTTTTTTGTTCCCCTGGCCCAGCTGCTATGTGAGCCAAATGGGTATGGCAGGCTCTCCCAGGGGCACGTTTGTCTCAGCAGGTGGCTCTGGTAACTGAAAGGCCCTGGGAGCCCCATGAGGTTAAACCGAGGCTTCGTCTCTGGAAGACAAGCAGCAAGAGCAGCCCCGCAGGTGGCTGAGTCCACAGCCCCGGGAAGGGCTTGCACATCCGCAGGCCTGCAGAGCCTGCTGCTCCCTGCAGGTCTGGAGAAGAAACGCCGGGCACCACATCCCATCTTACAAAGGAGAAGCACAGGTTGGGACTTGCCTGCTTTGGCTGGGATCTGTCCCCATTCTGTTGGAAGCAAGGCACTGGGTCACACTGCTGCCCTCACCCAAACGCTTCCCCACACCCTCCATTGTTTGCTTGTTTGTTTTGGGGGTTGTTTTGTTTTGTGTTTTGTTTGTGCACAAAGAGTGACTGGTAAATTAGCAAAGCAGTTAATAACACCACATCAGTTTTCGGTTAATCTTCTGCTTTCTGGCTGTGTGACTCTGGCAACTTCCCTCCGCGCTGAGTCAGTTTCCTCACATGTAAATGAGGAGAACAGGACAGTGGTAAACATGAGATGAGCCAATGGATGGAAGAGGGTTAGAAGACTGCACAGAGTTTACCCGGCAGAGTAAGCACCGCCAGATGACAAAGGAAAAGCGCTGTGGTGGCTCAGTTGGCCCCAGTGTCCCTCTGCTTGAGGGACAGCTTGGATGCAATCTTTCCAGCCTGAGCCAGTTCACCTCCCCCTCTACTACTTCAAGGTGCTCCATTTGGTGTAGCCTTAGGCAAGTCTTTTCATCTCCCTAGGTCTCAGTTTCTTACCTCTGAGATAAGTTGCAGAAGGGACTGGTACCCAGGACCACTCAAAGGACAGCCACAGTTTTATTACTATCACAGCACTGCCCTTCAGGACACAGGGCCTCAGGGCCACCGGACTCTCCAGCATACTTGTTGTGGACAGAGCCATACCAGCCACCCAGCCAGCCCTTCCCACCTTCTCTAGTGGCCAGCAAGTGCCCAGGGAGCTTTTGTTGGAAGGACACAGTCACACGGGGTAGACCACAGCCTGGACCCTTCCTCCTCGAAGCAGTGTCTGAGAGCCAGCAGTATCAGCAAGGTTTACCTGGCAGCCTGATTAAACCATCTCAATCAGCCGCCTCAGTCAGAGCACCACCATTCAAAGGCAGGTGATACGAATGCACACTGAAGTTTGAAAAGCACCACCTGCTCTGTCCTCTTAAAGCAGGTAAGTATGAGAAGCAAAGGAACAGGTGAAGGCCCCGAACCAGTGGAGGCCCCTACACCTGGGCACTGACACCTCCATCAGGCAAGGCTCCCACAGAAGCAGCTCCAGAGAGACGGTCAGTGGCATGGGACTTTGAAGCCAGCACCTCCAGGCTCAAACCCCAACTTGGCTACTTCCTAGCTGTGTGATCTTGGGCCTACTTATTCTATCTGATGGGGATGATGCTGGCAACCTCACAGGGTCATTGGCCGGATCAGAGAATTCTTGTAGTTACCGTGTTTGGGCATGTGCACACAACAAGCAACACTCAATGATACTTCAGCCAGTGATACTAACAGTCATATCCATTATCATTATCTGACCGTGGTGCTAACAGTAATACTTACTATCTGATGGTCACAGGAAGCCCAGGAGCCCATTCTGGTCACAGCTCCTCCTTCCTGATCCTCAGCATCATTTCCTCCTTACAATGACATGAGGTTGGTCACACCTCACATGGCAGATGACACTACCTTGCCTGTCAAGCTCACTTGTGCAAACAGGTGGTTTCCCATTCTCTAGGCATGGAAATGGGCCCAGAGTGTGTGTGAATGAATGGAGGAGAGGACTGGACGAGGCTGCCAAACTGGGTAGCAAAGCATTTGGTGGCTCACAGCCTCCCTGCAGGGCTGTGAAAAAAGTATTGCAAGGAACAAATAAATCAGTGCACAAAGCACTATAAGACGCACAGCCCATTATTCACCTTTGGAACGCCCACACCACTCCCAGTCAAAGGGCTTCACTGCTGCCTTAGGAGTCACCTTAGGACAAGGTGGATCCCCTGAGCCTGGGAGCAGAGGGAATCTGGAGCACACACACGAAAAAGGCAGGGTTACCAGTAGTGGGTCCAGACCTGCCTCCCCCGCCCCCAGGATTCTAACACTTGTGCCATCACCATTTGTAACTTTTTCTTAGAGGGGCAAGTTGAGGCTGACTGCAGCTGATTCCTCCCTCTGGCCCCCTAGTCTCACATGCTATTGGCTGATCGCCATGCTTGGTGGACTCCTGGGGTAACTACAAAGCGGAACTTTAAAAGTTAGTTTTTTTTTTTCTTTTACAGATCAGCAACTACTCCAAACTTCCTCCTGAGGTGCATATCACCAACACCACCTGCACTCCTCGGCCCAAAAGAAGTGACAGAGGGGCTGGGGATTTAGCTCAGAGGCACAGTGCCTGCCTGGGAAGTGCAAGGTCGTGAGTTCGGTTCCCGGTACCAGAAAAAAAAAAAAAACCCAAAAACCAAAAACAAAAAAAAACAAAAACAAAAACAAAACAAAAAAAAGTGACGGAATGCGCAGAGGTAAGCCCCAGGAGATGGGAACCTAGTTTCCTTCCCACAGGAAAGAGGAGGATGAACTGAAGAGCTGAAGTGATAAAGCAAGTGTAAAGATCTGCACTGCCTGTCTGTGTCCCCGTCCCCTGTGTCCCTTACTATAAAAGACTCTTTCCCCCTGTACGCGGAGAGATGGAAATTTCAGGCAAACGGGCTCCTCCCTCTCCTTGGAGCTAGCTTTAAATAATTTCTTTTTCCTTTTTACCAAAATAAATGGTCCCTTTTGATTCGGTCAGTGGGAGCAAATGAAGCTGAACCAGCAGCAGGGACCCACGCCTCCCTGCACAGAATCCGCAGGGCTGCAAGGCAGGCCGCGGGCTGGGACCCTCCAGACCCGCTCTTCCACACTGTGGGTGGAGAGGCAGGAGCTGTCTCCAGAGAGCAGTGGCTGTGGCTCGCCCCAAGTGAACCCCACTGCGATCCGAGGCCCAGGACCCCAGCCCCTCGTCGCGGGGAGGTGCACGTCCTGCTCGCCCCAGCCTCTTTCCTGCAAAGCTCAGAGTTCTTCCCACGGGCGCATCCTCAAACAAGGGCCCCTTGTCGCTCCCATCATAACGAAGCTCAGCGTTTGCCGGGCTCACAACCGGATGCCTAGAGACCTAGACCTCCGGGGCCACACTGTACAGCTCAGTTCAGAGACATCAAGGCCTCTAGCGAGGCTCACACAGCTGCTCGGCGGCGCTAGGTGCCCATCTGGCAATCAGTGAGGCTTAGACCCAAAGGAGCCAAGTCTGAGCAGAAGCAGGACCCGGAGGCCGGTCAGGGACGCCTCCGGGTTCCGGACGCTCCCCTCCTCCCGGTCGCTCCCCAAGCAGCCTAGGGGCGAGCCAAGGCTCGAGCCGAGGGGACAGAGCGCCCGCAGGGGCCCCGAGGGCTTGTGCCGAGAGGACGCTGATGCCGGCACCCCCCGCCCCCCCCCACACACACACATACACACGAGGCAGACCCAGAGCCAGAGCCCAGACCCGGAGCCCCGGCCCCGTGCTCACTTTGGGCTTGTTGAAGGCAGGTGCAGGTGTCATGGTGCCCAGCGTGCGCACTAGCGCTGCTCCTTCGGCCGAAGCTCGGTGGGTCTCGCCGATCGGTGGCCGTCCGATCCCCGGGGGCCCTCAGTGGCCGGCGCCGGCCAAGTTCTTCTATACTCCGCCGGGCCCCGCCTCGGCCCCGCCCCTTAGTCCCCGCCCCTCGCCGGAGTCCCCACCCCGCCCGCCAGGCCGCGCGTTTCCTGGAATTCCGGACCCGACCTGGCCGGCTGCACGCCCCAAACCTGCTCAGCGCCACGGGCCGGCTCGGCCCCAGCAGCCCCGCTGGGCTCTGCCCAGGTCCCCACCCGTCCAGTAACACTGGCGTTTCCACCCCTGCCCGGGCGCCCACTATGTGCAGACTCGAGCTGGAGGCGGGAAACCGGTGCGCATCCGGTGCTTCCCGGGGCCCGTGTTCCACAGGCGAGAGCCACCCTCCACGCAGAAACCCACCACAGAAGTGTGTGGATAGATGGAGGGCTCCGCTGGGGTCTAGGACCTGCTGGAGTCCACCAGGTGCAAGGGATGGGGGCCGAAAGAGAGGCGTTCAGTGCGAGAGACTCCGGGGAGCTGGGGACAAAGGAGCCCTGAGTTGCGGGACACGGGGGAGGAGAGACAGCAGTTAGTCTCCTCCCGGGCAGTTACCGGGATAAACCTGCCCAGGCGCAGACAGCGAACTTAGGAAGTGCTGACGGCAGTGCTGCTTGCAGCGAGCACACTGGAACCCCGGCACATGCCAGCCACCGGCGAGGGAGCCAAGAAACGGGAGAAGTCACACCGCGGACATTACCTTACACTGCAGTGAAACTGAAACAACTTCAGCTACAGACCGCAGCAGAGCTGCTCAGAAACAATGTTAGGTGGGGGAAGAAAAAAGTGGCAAAAAGTATATACACTGTGGCGCAAGTTTCAGAATACATAAAAAACGGAACCAATCCCCAGTGCAGCAAGTGAGAAAGTCGAAGCAAAAGTTTGCATGTTTAGTATCTGTGGGGAAAAAATGTGAAGCACGGGAAAGAGAAGCACAAATAAATGAGAACAGTTTTGAAAATGGCACCAGGAGGGGCACCCAGGGACTTTGAGAGTGCTGGTAGGGCTCCAGTGTTCCGTGGAATGTGGCTTGACTTCATCATATTATAAATAAACAACATATCCTTTAATAAGGGGGCAAGGGAGGCTGAGAGGGTGGAGAGGCCGGGCTGTGGAGCTTTCAGGATACAGGGAAATTTGGTCTTTCCCGCAAGTACTGTGTAATCAGTGGGGGGTTTTCAGTGGCTGCAAGACAGGATCAAACTTTTATTCAGAAAAAAATATTCTTCAGCTATGTAAAGTGTGGTCTGGAAGTCATCAGCCTCAACATCCCAGTGGAGCTGGTTAAAAATGCTCTCTCTGTGGCTCCATCACAGACCTACGGGACCACCAGAATCCGTATTTTCACAAGACCCCCCTCCCCAGCACACACATATACACACACACAGCTTGGGCGCACAGCACCAGTTGAGGAGCCTGGGTGCCCTGTTGTGAGGGAAGGCACTGGATGGACTAGGGGAGGGTGGGAGACCAGGCAGGAGCAATTGCAGCTATCTGAGTGACAGGTGGTGACAGCTATGCGGGGGATGGGAGACTCAGAGTCAAGCTATATGTAAAGGGCAACGTCAGCTGGATTTGGGGTGGGGTCATATGTGGGAGGGGGAAGAGCAGTTCTAAAACAATCTGTTCTGATTTGTTGTCAGAGCTGCAGAGGAGCTTTGTGTAAGGTCGGTGTGTAACTCAGGATAATAGTGACACGGTCCTGTTTATACACCCTTGGCACCAGGGGCCCTGGGAAGTGGTTTATAAAGACTGTCTCATTGGATCTGCCCCATGAAGCAGTAACTGTTCTTGTTGTATAAACAAGGACCCTGGGGTCCAGGGAGGGGACAGCCAGCTTGGCTTATGGATTCCAAGTAGACTGTAGAACTGAGATGGGCATTTGAACCTGACTCAGGAACCTTCACCCTAGCATCTGACTGCCAAATCTAGTTACTGCCTCTGATACGACATTCAAGCCTCTCTCCAGAAGCAGCCCTCTACTTCCCAGCGTATTCTCCAAACCCTGCCCAACCTGGATCACTTGCCGGTCAGGTGAAGGAGACCGCAGGTTCTTTGCTGTTCCTCTCCTTGTGAGATGGAGTCTAATTTTCCTCCTCTTGCACTTGGGCTGGTCCGAGTGACCTGTGTGAAAGAGCCTGGCAGGAACATTCCTGGACTCCTGAGCTCACCCGTGAGGAGCTTGTAGCTTCCCCTGGGGCCTTGTGAAATGCTCTTTGGGACCCCTGAGCCTCTAGAAGAGACATCATCCCGCTGGGGAGTCCACATTTGGCCACTGCAGTCCACAGTGCTGCTGAGCCCCACCTTGCGGCCATCCCCACCCAGCCGGCAGATGTGTCGTGAAGCCGTGCTGCACCCTCCAGACCAGCTGCTGTCTGAACCTTTGCTTCAGTCGGTGCCACTTGGGACAGAACTATCCAGCTGAGCCCAGCCCAGATTCCTGACCCACGGAAGTGTGACGTGGAATACAATGTGCTACGTAATAAAATTGTAATATGTAATAAAGTGCTGCTTATTTGAAGCTCCAATGTTTTGTGGGTCTATGGACTGTTCTGCAGTAGCAGGAACAGTGGCTCCTATCTGCCCTCGCCCTCTGGCCTCTGCTCCTTGGTTTAATCCATCCTGACACCTGGAAAAGCCTTTTCTCAGATCCTAGACTATCCTGCTCTCCAGGTAGGTCAGGTAACTCGGGGAAGTAGCCAGGCTGTGCACTGTAGTTCTGTGTGCTCCTTTGGGAGCGCACGTCATCCTTTTGCAGGGCCTGCGGCCTCATGCTATGGATGGCACCATTGAGATGGTTCTTTTGCTCTCTGGCTTCTGGTATCTTTTGGTCAGTAATGGGCAAGGGCAGGAGATCAGAAGTTGAGAAGAGGAGCTTGGCATGGCTGGGGGGGCGGTGCCTGTAATTGCAGTACTTGGGGAGGCTGAGGCAGGATGATTACAAGTTCAAGCCCAGCCTGGGCAACTTAGTAACTAAGTGAGAACCTGTTTTACAAATTTTTAAAAGGCTGGGGTATAGCTCAGTACAAAGATCTTGGTTTCAATCCCCAATATCTCCTCCCTTCCAAAACAGGTGAGAGGAGGGACAGGTTAGGGTGTTTATTCTCTCTTTCTTCCCGCTTTAGTTTCTGGAGTGACTGTGTCCCTTTACCAAGGCCAGGACTCCTGGCAGAGATTCTGCCCTATCCAGATCCCTTCTTGTGCTTATCTCCAAGGGCAATGCACCTTTTGTTACAGCCCCAGGTCCTGCACTACTGTTGTTACTTTCCCCGAACTCTGCTGTCTGGGCGAGGCTTCACCACCGAGCAGAGGCTGAGCAAAGTTTGGAGTGTTCAGTTTATTTGGGAAGAGATCCGGAAGGGAGTGCAGAAATGAGACAAGGAGATAGGAGACTCCGGTATGGCCATTTACCACACTGGGTTTCTGCCGCTCAGTGCCTCGGGCAGCCTGGGAGGTGATGGGGAATATGGCTCAGAGTTCACCCGGCTGAGACGTGAGGGAGCTTGTCCGCCCACTGCCCTCTGGAACTATGATGTGTACATCTGTTTTTTTTTTCTTCAGTGCAGGGAATGAAACCCATGACCTCACGCGTGCTAGGCTAGCACCCTGCTCCTGAGCTACCCCTCCACCTCTCAGGTATTGTATGAGAAATGCCTCCAGACATTAACTTCCTGGCATGCTCAGCTTGTTCAACAGAACCAGCTAAACTTGGCCCTGTGGCTTGACAAGACCTGCAGCAGAGAGACAGGGCGACACTCAGGTGTTCGCACTAAGGTATAGCTGTTGCCATGGACAGTGATGCTGAGGGCATCCGGCTAGGGCACCGACAGTGACAGCCGCCACACCTTTGTAAATAATTCCTTTATTAAACTTCTCCATTACCGCGTTTGTGTGTGTCACCTGGCTCCTCACCTGGCTTCAGGCTGGTGATGAGCTCATGCATGTCTGTCAAGAGCTGAGGGGGATGCTTCTCTCACATTCACTATGACATAGCATGTCACTCGCATCTGAAAACACCAGAGATAAGTCCTCAAACATGCAGGAATTCTATCTCACATACCCTTCCTGAAAAATCAAGCTGGAGATATAATTCTAAGCAAAACATGATAAAGAAAGCGGGAGAGAGAGATGTCTGAGAACTGATGCATCTCAGTGTGATACCATATCCTTCTCTCTGAAGCAAAGAGTTAAGTGTGACAATGGCATTGGTAACTTAGTACCAAGGCGCCAACTGCAACTGTTAAAGTTTGCAGAGGAAAAGCTGTAGGATGAGGGGGCAGCTTTCAAGGTGGATGTTTTATTATTATTATTTTTTTTTTCCAGTACCGGGAATCGAACTCACAACCTCCCACTTACCAGGCAGGTGCTGTGCCGCTGAGCTAAATCCCCAGCCCCAAGGTGGATATATTATTATTATGTGTTATAGTTAGGATGTCGCCCCTAGCTACTTAGCTCAAAGAATGTTGCCAATACCAAGCCCACTTGCTGGACATGGAGTTCTTGCTCCCGTAACAGTTGTGGGGTGCAGAGGCTCCTCTCAGTCCTGGGGCCCAGGTTGAGTCTACAGCATGTGGGTCCCAAGGTTACTCTAGGCATCGTCTTTATTGCAGTCAGTCTGACGAGAACAATATTAAGGAGTGTTTGGGGTTTAGGGGACCCAATCTCAGAGTGGCATGTATCACTTCAGCCCACCACAGCCGGATCACGTGGCCATTCTGAGTTGCAGGGGAATGTGTAGTTCAGCAGTCTCTGTCAGATTAAGAGTGGCTCCTCCTCGAGAAGGTCGCTTTGCTCCCCTTCCCATGAGACTCGCCTTCATCTCCCTTGTACCAAAAATGTCACATGTCCTGGGATAACCTTACCAGCCAGGTGGATGGTTTATTTTCTCTCTGGATTTCCAGACCTAGCTCAGGGCCTGGTGGAGACTGAGAACTCGTGTGATGGGGGAATGACAAAAAATGTCTTTGTTCTGGAGCTTCAAGCCCTCAGTGAGCAAAACCTAGTGTCTAGCTCTGTGCAGGGCTCAAGTTGCCTTAAACTAGGGG